GGGCGAGGAGGAAGGGCGGGGGGCAGCGCCCCCTGGCGGGAGGAGGCCGCGCAGCGCTGCGGGCGGACACACGGACACGCGTGTGCATGCAGTGACGGACACGCGTACGGTGTGCATCTGTGGGGCAGACACATGGACACGCATGTGGGTGCAAGGACGGACACGCATACCGGTGTGCACATGCAGGCAGATACACGGACACGCGTACAGGTGCAGGGATGGACATGTGTGCCGGTGTGCACCTATGGACGGACACATGGACATGCACGTGGGTGTAATGATGGACACGCATACTGGTGTGCACCTACAGTCAGACACACAGACACGTGTACTGGATTTGCACCTACAGACGGACACACAGACATGTGTGTAGGTGTAGGGACAGATATGTGTACCAGTGTGCACCTACAGACAGAAACAGACACGTGTACCTACGGAGTGTAGACATACAGAGACTGGAATACATGCATGTGCACACGTATATACATCCACACGCATCCACACATATAGATACCCACACCTACACTCACCTGCGCATCCATACGTGCACAGACACACACACACGCACACACATACACTTCCCATGCCCATCCATTGCCATATTCATGCACACATACGCGCACACATAGGTACATGCATAGGCACAGGCAGACATGTGCATATGCACAAATGCTCACACACACAACCCCCTCCCTGGCAGTGCGCAGGTGCAGTGGGGTCCCAGGGACCCCCTTACCCTGGGGACCTGTTTGGGCCAAGCGGGTGCCATGGGGTACTCAGCACCCATGGGGTGAGAGGCAGGAGCCCATGTGCTGCCCTGTGCCACCCTGGTGTGCGGGTGGCCCTGGCACCCGTGTGCCCTGTCCTCGCCCAGAGGCAGGGAGCTGCTGGACACAGACAGGGGGTCAGTGGGTTTATTGCCTGCATGGAGCAGCTGAGCGCGGCGTTGCCCCGGGGGTCTCAGGGGCACAGTCCTTCCCTGAGGAGTCCAGTCCTGGTGGTGAGCACAGGGTGCAGCCCGGGCTCCAGTGGTCCTAGCGCAGGGTGGGCTTTCCTGGGGTTGCGGGTGTCGGTCAGCACTCGTACTGCGGTGGGGCACAGCGCCCGGCCCTGCGCGGCAAAGCAGCCATGAGCTCTGGGCCAGGTTCCCTGGGGTGAGCGGGCATCCCCAGGCTGGGGGCACCCGGGCTGGGGGGCAAAGCTGGGATCTACTGGGGCTGGGCCACGGGGCGGTGCCTAGGCTGGTGGCACTGGGGCTGGGGGACAGCGGGACTGGAGTGCCCAGGAGACCCCGGGCCTGAGGGCAGCGGGGACTGGTGTAGGGGTGGGGAGTCCCAGGGTGGAACACTCCCAAAGCTGAGGAGGCTGGTGGGCTTGGGGTACTTATAGGGCATCGTGGCTGGGGACACCAGAGTACACTGGGGGGGTCCCAGGGCTGGAGACACTGTGGGGTTGGAGATAGGTGCAGGGTCCCAGGGATGCAGGCTGGGCTGGGCAGGGGGTGGTGCGGGGGATGGGCAGGGGTCCCCGCTCACCTGCA